CATTGACAAAGAACGATCAGACTCAGATCTCATCCACACTACACGGACACTTCCTTCGTCGAACGAAAACATAATTAAAAAAAAAATCCTGCCATGTCGGCTCCCTCTCCTCTTGGAAGAAACCACCCTCTCAGTACTGGCGTGATCTGTCATCATCCGGGGGCATTGCCTCGTCGTCCGCAACACCCGTTGTTCTAGAGGCTGTTGGATGCAAGTGCAGGCTCCCGTCACACCATCCTCACGCAGCTTTGTCACCAGTCTCCTAGCTAGCTGACCTCGAGAACTGACGATCGTGTTAGAAGCAATTCGCGGGCTACGAGTCGAGTACTGTTCTTACTATTTCTGGGGCAACGAAGTCAAAGGACCCGTTTTTCTCACGCTGTGTCGTTTGGAATTGGGCCTGCTCGCGAGCCCGCGCGCTGCGGACGGGTCCAGTAGAGTTGGATTGCTGTCATGATGAGCATGATCAGGGCCATGATGAAGGCGATTGGGTCGAAGTTAAGTGGAATTGGAGACATGGTTGATTGGTTGAAGGGTTAGGCTTGTTTTGATGCTGGTGGACTGCGAAGGTAAAGAGCGCGTTTTGGCTGTGGGATTGCTTCATTTTTGTACATGGATTCTATGGAGAAAGGTAGGTATGGATGGCATTGTTGGGGAATAGGAGAGTCTGGAGAGTCAGGGAGTGAGAGAGTTGGGGAGTTAGGGAGTAGGTGAGTAGGTGAGGGAGCGAGCGAGCAAGAGACCTGGAGGATTGGACGGGGGAAGGAGTTGGTGAGTTGGTGAGTGAGTATGGAAATGTGGGCGGAGGTAGGAGGGAGATCGATGCGGCTGAGGCTGTAAACGAGCACTGTATGTGGGAGATTTCGCTGTACCTAAGGCTAGGCTGTCACACGATGGCGTTTGCGGCTCTTCGGCTTCTCAGCGATCGCGTTTCGCGGTTATTAGGGCCATTAATTAAGACCAAGGCAGCGACGTACAAAAGCGGCCAATCACATCGTGACGAGAGCTGTTCTGCAATATTACATCAGCGGCGGTGGCTGGCGGATTGACGAGCTGGGCACTTGGGGAGTTGGCGAGTTGGGGAGCTGGCGAGTTGGGGAGCTGGCGAGTTGGGGAGCTGGCGAGTGATGGATCCTTGGACCGACAGAGGAAGCGTCTGCCGATCAATCAATCATACATAAACTCTCATCGTCGTTGGTCGAGGTGCAAACAGATATCTCACTAACTCCACGAACGCATCTTTACGAAGAGACAACACCGCCATCGTTGTGCAGAAGCACGCTGTCAGCTAGCTCAGAGCCCTCCGCGCCCG